TTCCAAGACTTTGCTATTGTGTGAATAGTGCTGCAATAAACATACCGTGTGCACGTGTGTCTTTATAGCAGCATAATTTATAATCCTTTTGGGTATATACCCAGTAATGGATGGCTGAGTCATATGGTACTCTAGTTCTAGATCCTTGAGGGATCGCCATACTGTTTTCCCTTAATGGTTAACTAGTTTACAATCACACTAACAGTGTAAAAGTTCCTTATTTCTCCACATTCTCTCCAGCACCTGTTGTTTCCTGACTTTTTTAATGATTGCATTCTATACTGGTGTGAGATGGTATCTTCATTGTGGTTTTGATTTGCATTTCTCTGATGGCCAGTTAGGAAAAGGGATTCCCTTCCCCCTTGCGCTTCCCAGGTGAGGCAATGCCTCGCCCTGCTTCAGCTCTCACTGGTCGGGCTGCAGTAGCTGACCAGCACCCATCCTCCGCCACTCCCCAGTGAGATGAACCCAGTACCTCAGTTGAAAATGCAGAAATTACCGGTCTTCTGTGTCGCTCGCGCTGGAAGTTGGAGACTGGAGCTGCTCCTATCACGATTTTTTTTTCTAGTTCTGTGAAGAATGATTGTGGTATTTTGATGGGGATTACATTGTATTTGTAGATTGCTTTTGGCAGTATGGCCATTTTCACAATATTGATTCTATCCATCCATCAGGATGGGATGTGTTTCCATTTGTTTGTTTCATCTATGATTTCTTTCAGCAGTATTTTGTAGTTTTCCTTGTAGAAATCTTTCACATCCCTGGTTGAGTACATTCCTAAGTATTTTATTTATTTTTCAGCTCTTTTAAAAGGGGTTGAGTTCTTGATTTGATTCTCAGCTTGGTAGCTATTGGTGTATAGCAGAGCTACTGATTTGTGTACATTAATTTTGTATCCTGAAACTTTTCTGAACTCATTTGTCAGTTCTAGGAGCTTTTTACAGGAGTTTTTAGGGTTTTCCAGGTATACAATCATATCTTCAGCAAACAGTGACAATTTCCGATTTGGATGCCCTTTATTTCCTCCTTTTGTCTGATTGCTGTGGCTAGGACTTCCAGTACTATGTTGAATAGAGCGGGTGAGAGTGGGCATCCTTGTCTTTTTCTAGTTTTCAGAGGTAATGCTTTCTACTTTTCCCCATTCAGTATTATGTTGGCTGTGGGTTTCCCATAGATGACGTTTATTACACTGAGGTATGTCCCTTGTATGCTGATTTTGCTGAGGGTTTTAATCATGAAAGGAGGCTGAATTTTGTCAAATGTTTTTCTGCGTCTATTGAGAAGATCATGTGATTTTTATTTTTAATTCTGTTTATGTAGTGTATTACATTAATGACACAAGTCATTAACCTGTTTCTATTAAATGATCCTTGCATCCCTGGTATGAAACCCACTTGTTTATGGTAGATTATGTTTTTGATATGCTGTTGGATTCAGTTATCTAGTATTTAGTTGTGGATTTTTGCATCCATGTTCATCAAGGATATTGGTCTGTAGTTGTTTTTTTGTTGTTGTTATGTCCTTTCTGGTTTTGGTATTAGGTGACACTGGCTTCCTAAAATGATTTAGAGAGGATTCCTTCTTTCGCTATTTTGTGGAATAGCATCAATGGGATTGGTATCAATTCTTTGAATTTCTGGTATAATTCAGCTGTGAATCCATCTGGTATTGCACTTTTTTTTTGGTAATTTTTTTTTATTACCATTTCAATCTCTTTCCTTGTTATTAGTCTGTTTAGGGTTTCTAATTCTTCCTCATTTAAGCTGGGGGAGTTGTATCTTTTCAGGAACTTTTCCATCTCCTCTATGTTTTCCAGTTTATGCTAATAAAGGTGTTCATACTAGCCTTGTGTGATCTTTTGTCTTTCTCTGGTGTTGGTTGTAATGTCTCTTGTTTCATTTCTAATTGAGCTTCTTTGGATCTTCTCTCTTCTTTTCTTGGGTAATCTTGCAACTTGCTGTAATATCATAGAAAATGGTTTGGAAGAATTACTATCTTTTTATATATCTCTTGGCCATTTGGATTTCTGTTTGCAGAAAGCCTTGGTAAAATATTTGGCCCTTTTTTATTGGGTAGTTTGTTTTATCATTGGTTAATGCTTTGTTTGTCCTATTTAAGAAACATTTGTCCATCCAAAGCCATAAAGATATTCTCTTATTTTTTTAAAGATGCTTTATTCATTTTCCTTTGGCACTTAGGTTTTCAATCTATTAGATACATGTTTTTGTGTATTGTATGAATTAAGATTGAAAGTTACTATTTTTCTATGTGTATATTGAGTTGTGTCAAAAGTTTATGTGGTAAAGGTTATACTTTCCCAACTGCATTGCAGTGTCATCTTTATTTTAATTCAGGTAACAGCAACAAGAGCAAGTGGGTTGGATATTATTCTGTTTCATTATCTTAATCCTTGTGTCTATATCTACTATAACTGTAGTATAACTACAGGCTGTACTATATCTGTACAATCTGTAATAGTATCCCTTTTTCATTCCTGATACTGATCATTTTTGTATTTTTCTCTTTTTGTCTTGATAAGTGTTGTTACGCGTTCATTGATATTATGAATCTTCTCCACAAATAATCGTTTAAATATGTGCAGAACATGCAGGTTTGTTACATAGGTATATATGTGCCATTTGCTGCACCCATCAACCAGTAACCTACGTTAGGTATTTCTCCTAATGCTATCCCTCCGCTAGCCCTTCACCCCCTGACAGGCCCCGGAGTGTGATGTTCCACTCCCTGTGCCAATATGTTCTCATTGTTCAACTCCCACTTATGAGTGAGAACATGTGGTGTTTGGTTTTCTGTTCTTGTGATAGCTCACTGAGAATGATGGTTTCCAGCTTCATCCATGTCCCTACAAAGGACATGGATGTCACATTTTCTTCATCATTGATAGAGAAAATCATCACATCTTTCTATATATCATTGATGGGCATTTCGGTTGGTTCGAAGTCTTTGCTATTGTGAATAGTGCTGCAATTAACATATGTGTGCATGTGTCTTTATAGTAGAATGATTTATAATCCTTTGGGTATATAACCAGTAATAAGATTGCTGGGTCAAATGGTATTTCTGGTTCTAGATCCTTGAGGAATCACCACACTGTCTTCTGCAATGGTTGAACTAATTTACACTCCAACCAACAATGTAAAAGCGTTTTTATTTCTGCACATCCTCTCCAGCATCTGTTGTTTCCTGACTTTTTAATGATTGCCATTCTAACTGGCGTGAGATGGTATCTCATTGTGGATTTGATTTGCATTTCTCTAATGACCAGTGATAATGAGCTTTTTTTTTTTCATGTTTGTTGGCTACATAAATGTCTTCTTGTAAGAAGTGTCTGTTCATATCCTTCGCCCACTTTTTGATGTTTTTGTTTTCTTGTAAGTTTGTTTAAGTTTCTTGTGGATTCTGGATACCAGATTTTTGTCAGGTGAATAGATTGCAAAAATGTCCTCCTATTCTGTAGGTTGCCTGTTCAATCTGATGATAGTTTCTTTTGCTGTGCAGACACTCTTTAGTTTAATTAGATCCCATTTGTCAATTTTGGCTTTTGTTGCCATTGATTTTGGTGTTTTAGTCATGAAGTCTTTGCACATGCCTATGTCCTGAATGGTATTGCCCAGGTTTTCTTCTAGGATTTTTATTGTTTTAGGTCTTACATTTAAGTCCTTAATCCATATTGATTTAATTTTTGTATAAAGTGTAGGAGGTGATCCACTTTCAGTTTTCCACATATGGCTAGCCAGTTTTCCCAGCACCATTTATTAAATAGGGAATCCTTTTTCCATTGCCTGTTTTTGTCGGGTTTGTCAAAGACTAGATTGTAGTAGATGTGTGGCATTATATCTGAGGCCTCTGTTCTGCTCCATTGGTCTATATATCTATTTTGGTACCAGTACCATGCTGTTTTGGTTACTGTAGCCTTGTAATATTGTTTGAAGTCAGGTAGCATGATGCCTCCAGCTTGTTCTTTTTGCTTAGGATTGTCTTGGCTAAATGGGCTCTTTTTGTTCCATATGAAATTTAAAGTAGTTTTTTCTAATTCTGTGAAGAAAGTCAATGGTACCTTGATAGGGATAGCATTGAATCTATAAATTACTTTGGGTAGTATGGCCATTTTTACAATTTGATTCTTGTTATCCATGAGCATGAAATGTTTTTCCATTTGTTTGTGTCCTCTCTTATTTCCTTGAGTAGTGGTTTGTACGTCAAGAGGTCCTTCACATCCCATGTAAGTTGTATTCATGATATTTTATTTTCATTTTAGCAATTGTGAATGAGAGCTCATTCATGATTTGGATCTCTATTATTGGTATATAGGAATGCTTGTGATTTTTGCACAGTAGTTTTGTATCCTGAGACTTTGCTAAAGTTGCTTATCAGCTTAAGAAGATTTTGGGCTGAGAGATTGTAGGTGATCAAGAAAGGACTTATAGTTTCACTTAAGTCTTGAAATCTGGTTATCCATCTAGCATATTAAATTGTGAAATATATTATAGGCAGTGGAAATGGCATAAACAAAGTTATAAATGAGCATTAAAATAGCCTGTTCTTTGTGGAAAATTGCAAACAATTTGTTATGGCTTCTGTTTAGGTATCAGGTTGCAGAGAGCTTTGTATACAAGTTAAAGGAATGTTGACTTTATCCTCTAGGCCAGTAGATTTGTTAATCTGTATTCTAACTCATCCTCATCCATATAGGCTCTGCAGGCTGTTAGAACCATCACAGAAAGAGAGAATAGTCTAATAAGTAGGGACCATTTCTCCATCAGAGTAGCTCTCGTTTGGCTGTTTTATATTGAAGTTCTTCATTGTACTCTATTTGGAAAAAAAAATTCACTGCTTTTAAGAAAGCTAATAAAATTGTAAAACTACCACAATGAGATATAAGAAGACCTGAAAAGTTTTAACCAGGAGAAAAAATATTTAAGATAAACACCATAATGAAATACAACATGCAGAGATCATGTCTTATTTTGGGCAGCTAACCTGAGTGTCTAACCTTTCAGGTGTGGTTCCCAACAAAGGTCAGTTTCCCATGGCTGTGGGAGGCCAGGAGTTGTTTCAGTGCACTGGTCCGATGTGCCGCTATGCTGAAGACCTGGCCCCCATGTTGAAGGTCATGGCAGGACCTGGGATCAAAAGGTATGTTCATTTATTTTTATTTCCTCAGACTCTTATCCTGACATTCATTCTCTCTTTATTTATTAATGTCATAGAGGTAGACTTTCAGTCCTCAAGCAAATAATTATTGCAGATATTTATGAGAGAGCCTTTATATACTTATATAAGTGGATACCATGATTCACAAATTGGGAAGATGCCATGTAAAAGTATTTTACTGAGAAAATACAAAGAGAGGCCTTATTTTGGGATGGAAACGGTGAATCTTTTTGTTGTTCATTTGTGAATTTGAGTATAAGGACTATCTGCACTTCAAGTTCAGCCTTTCTGATTCTTCTGCCATCTGTCACCATATACATACTTTCCAATCTCACCTAGGCATCAATGCTGCTTGGAAATCGGTTTCCATAGACAGCATTTTTTTTTTTTTACGTTTTCTATAGCAGTGATTTCAAATTATTTCCATTTCCAGCAAACCTGTGATCTTCTCCTTTCCTTTACCCTCAAGTAAATACTCCCACATTTTATCTCATCCAAAAAAAAAAAAAAAAAATGCAATCTATATGTAACTTACTTCAGTTTCTTACCATCACATTTTTCTAGGTCTCCAACGTTCATTATTTTCTCCTTTTAGAGTGGAGAAAATATCTTTCCATTTTGCTTTAGCATATAAGTAGTTTCAGTTATGCTCTTGATCTTATGTTCTCTTATTCTCTCAGGTCTTTGTTCCACTACTTATCTCACCTTAGTATGACTTTAACCTCTCTCTGTCTCTCTCTGTCTCTCTGTCTCTCTCTCTCTCTCTCTCTCACACACACACACATACACTTATGCACCCTTGTCATTATAATTAAACATCCTAAGTGTCTCTCATCTTAAAATGAGACAAAATTTTTTTAGCCACTTATTCCCCTTAAGCCACTACTCTATGCTGCTTTTTGCCCCATTGCCAGACCCTTTGTGTGAATTATTTATACTCATTGACTCTAAATTCTCACATTGCCATCTCATAAATGAATTCACTACAAACTGGTTTTTACCACCAAAATTATTCTTGCCAAGGTCCCTGATTTTTTTTTTTTTTTTTTTGCGTTTTTGCTAAGAATAATGACTGCTTCTCAATACTTACCATTCATTACCTCATTATAACTGGGGGCAGTATTGATATTACTCCATCATTATTGAAACAAACTCTGCCCTTGGCTCTTGTGATACAATCTTTTTTAAAATTATTGCTAATTTTTGTGGGTACATAGCAGGTATATATATTTATGGGCTACATGAGATATTTTGAAGCAGTCATGTAATGCATAATAATTGCTTCATGGAAAATGGGGTAGGTATTCATCCCCTTAAGCATTTATGCTTTGTGTTATGGACAGTCCACCCTTTTGATATTGCTCCTTTTCCTTTCATCTGCCTTACTGGCTCTTCCTTCCTTTGTTCATCTCTTATATATTGGTATTCTAGAAGGACCTGGTTTACTTCTCTGTCTTCTTTCTACTTACCCTCTCAGAATGACTCCATCTATCCTTGCCACTTCAACCATTTTCCATACACAGATGATGCTGAAATCTACCTCTTCAGCTCACTCTTTTCACTTAAGCTAGAGGACTGTCTATTTACTACTACAGGAAGACTGGCCATTTCAGATAACTGAAACTCAATATATCTAAAACTGATAGTATTTTTCTTCCAAGCTCCAGAAACCTGATCCACTACTTCAATTCTTGCCCAATCCCAGTGATTGGATGACCAAAATCAACCCAGTTGCTAAAGCCTCATATCCAATTTTTCTCAGTCATTACATCTAAGCAATGCTGAGTCATATTGAAACTACCTACTAATGATTTCTTACATCTTTATATATCTCTCCATCATCATGGTTACAGTTCTAGTTCAGGCTACAATCATTTCTACCATTAACTGCTACCAAAGCATTTTGATTTGTCACTATGTCTACAATTTTGATGCATTTCAAACCATTCTCTCCCCTGCAGCTCAAGTACATTTCTTAAATGCAAATCTAAATTCTAAAGGTGTAACACTGTTTCTGGCACACAGTGCTCAGGGAAAAATACTTCATTAGAGCTGAAGTTCAGATGTCAGGATTGAACTAGTATGGATATCTAAATAATTTGTTGACGTCAGTTTCCTTTTAATGCTCCACAGGTTAAAACTAGACACAAAGGTACATTTAAAAGACTTAAAATTTTACTGGATGGAACATGATGGAGGCTCATTTTTAATGTCCAAAGTGGACCAAGATCTCATTTTGGCTCAGAAAAAGGTAATTTTAAATAAAATTTGTTTAAGAGTTATTTTTAGTCAAGGAGATGCTATTCTGAACCCTTTACTTCACTTTCTGCCAAATATTTCTGTGTTAGCATACGGAATTAAGGTTTTCAGAACTTATACTAAGCAATTTTGGGTGTAATTTTTCATGGTTATTTTAGATATTTTATTTTTTAGTAATGAAATGAGTACTTTGAAAATAAAGTATGATAAATCAAATAAATAAATTGCTCAGAGGTAACCGTTATTAATAATTTGGTATGTATCTATCCAGTGATTCTTCTATGCTCATGTGTAGATGTACATTTTAGGTAATTGAGACAACATTATATATGCAATCATTTTAGCCTGAGCTTTATTTTAAAATGCTTTTATAATCAGATGAAATAATAAAACAAATTTGTCTTTTTAAAAACAAAGGTTCATTTGGGAAAGAAGAATAATAAGGGGAACAGCTCTATCAAATTTTAAAAGTAATTTTTAAACTACTACTTAATAATAATACAGATTATTACTTGGAAGCAATGGAATTGTATATCTCAATCCTCAAGGGAATCAGTATAACAACTCACAGTAAGAATTAGGAAAGTGTTCTAGTGAAAGTCGAATAATCTCTAAGTTAGAATCATCTAAATAGACCAAAAACCACTAGTCAAAATTGTTTTGCAATACTTATGAATTATGAAACATATGTGTAAAAACTAGAAGAAACTTAAGTGTGGTGGAAGATGGCTTTTATATTCTGTCTTTGTTTTGTGCCACCATGAAAAAATGTCTGTAACTCGATAACTTACAAAGAACGAAAATTTATTTCTCATACATCTGAAGACAGGAAAGTCCAAGATCAAGGTGCTGGCAGGTTCAGTGTCTGGTGAAGGCCATCTTGCTGCATTCTCCAGAAGGGAGAAACATGGCAGAAGGGTGGAAGAGACAGCTGCTAAGGCTGCATGAAGCCTTTTAAGAAATGGCTGTAATTGCATTAACTAGGGGCAGCCCTCATGGCCTAATCACCTCTTAAGGGCCCCACCTCTTAATACTAACGCATTGGCAACACCTGAATTTTGGAGGCGATGCATTCAAACCATAGGTCAGGAGATCGAAGCCATCCTGACTAACACGGTGAAACCCCGTCTTTACTAAACAAAATACAAAATACCCTGGTGGCGGGTGCCTGTAGTCCCAGCTACTCGGGAGGCTGAGGCAGGAGAATGGTGTGAACCAGGGAGGCAGAGGTTGCAATGAGCTGAGATTGTGCCACTGTACTCCAGCTGGGAGACAGAAGCGAGACTCTGCCTAAAAAAAAAAAAAAAAAAAGAAGAAACAAACAAAACAACAAACAAAAAAACCAAAACGTAAACACAGCATATGTGAATACATTACTGTGTTACTAGATTTGAAAATCATGTTATAAAATTATGCATTTTTAAAAATCTATAGGTACAATGTAATTCATATAAAAACTCAGTGGATTTTTAAATTTCTTTTTGTAATGCTATGGTTTTTGATATTTTCATCATATATCCTATTTTAGGTTGAACTCATTTATTCTGTGAGTTTTTAAATAGCACTCTTTGCATTAGTATTAAAAGAGGAAAAGAGAAAAGTGAGATCTTTATAGGTTATAAACCCAGAAACAGAATTTCTTCCTATATTAACTTTTTACATGTATTAAGATTGCTTCACATATAGGAAATAATAATATCTAAAAGAGAGAAATCATAGAAAATACTGTCAATAAAAATGATAGAGGATTATTAACCTTATACAGGCTATAACCCATTATAAGAGAAATACCACCAGGGACACAGGAAAAGGAGAAAGGTAAATTATAAAAGAAGATATGTAAGTGAATAGTAAAAACACAAGAAATGTTAAGACTTACAAGTAATTAAAGGAGGAACTATAGAAAAATTAAGATACTATTCCTCGGTTGCTTGGGTTGATAAACCATAGAATGCTAGTGGCAAAGCAAATTGGTACTTTTCTGGGGAGCTGGAGGATAAATGCAAAGTTATGAAGCCAGGTGCAGAAGGACAAAAGTAAGTGAATGGAAGTAAATTACTCGCATTGAACTTTTAGTCCATATAAGTTGCTCTCACAGTAGAATTACCTCACTTCCTGTTCTGTAACTTAAGCAAAAATGTTAATAACTTAATGTACAGACTCTTCATTACCAAATTCTCTAGCCAATTTAATATTCTGTCCCCAAACCCTTCCCTTTACAATATTAAAATGATATTTTTGCTGACCTGAAATTCATGCGTATGAAAAGCCAATTTTCCTAAATGAGGTTTTCACTTGTGATACTAACCAAGAGTGTCACTGTTACTGAAACTTTCTCTGCAGTCTCAGAAGTGACAATGTTGCAGACTTCATCACCTGTTGGCATCAAGTAGCAGGGAGAGCTATCATAGAATAGTTTAGCTTGAAATAATACTTTAAAATAGTCGCCTGCTAAAAATAGAGACAGATTGAAATACATGTGAATTCATTTAGGAGTTTCATTTCATACTGGGTAATTTTAGAACAGGCTCTAGTGAAGGTTGGTGTATGGAATACAGGGATCTATAATACTGTTGTATGCTTTACCAGTTGATTCAATAAGATAAATTTTATAACCTCAATATTTTTCCAGAAACCATTTTATAAAATTCAGATGTCTATTTCTGATTAAAAATTAATTTTTGCCATACTATGTTCTTTTTTATATTATCTACATGAAATCCAGGGCAATCTCTTTAAAATATAAAATAAGGTAAGCATGCTAACCATCACCATTATTATTTATAGAAAGTATGCCAAAGAGAAATTAGAAATAAGAGGTGTGACTATGAAAAAAAGACAAATCAATAATTATTTATAGAATAAGATGTGAGTATATTCTTGTTAAATGCAAAGAGTGCTGTTTAAAAACTCATAGAATAAATGAGTTCAACCTAAATTAGGATGTACAATGAAAATATCAAAAACCATAGCTAACATATCTATCAGCAATAACCAGATAAAAAGTAGAATGAGGAAAACAGAGAAGGCAAATAGAAAATCCTACAAAATGCCTACAGACTCTAAAAATAAGGATGTACAACCTACCAGAGAAAAATTACAGAACTTTACTAGGAGTCCTTAAATGAGTTTTGAATAAAAAGACAAACTTAGTTTTATAGCTTGAGTTGTTGGTGGATAGATCCCATAGCCTATATAATCCGTGTCACTGGGATTACAATTATCATTCCTTTTTATAATGTTCCTAGTCACGCTACAAAATTCCATCACAGCGATAAAGGCATTTCTGAAACACCAACAGGCCTGCTGTTCTGTAATCTGTCATTGAATAAATTAGTTTATGTCTCTTTGTTTCTGTATATTTTCTGAAAAGGAGGAAGTGGAGGAACATGAGAATGAGTGATGTGTGTATCTGAGGAGGGAGGAGATAAATAGAGAAAGACATTGTTACATCATTGGAGGTGGGGTAAGTATGTGTGCCACCTCCACCATTCCCAAGCTATTGTCAGAAAAACACCATGTTTTAGGACAGGATGGCTATATTTTATAGCAACTAAAATCAAATTAGCAATTTTTATTATGGAAGTTGAGAAAATGATGTTAAGCTTCTCCCATCAGAATAAATAGCCAAGAAGAAACGAAAATTTTGATTCAGGAGAATAAAAATATTAAGGATTTAGTATTCCAGAATTTTAATATGGCATAATATATTTAAATATTTCTCTAAAGTTAGTAACTTTATATAGCAATTTGAACTTTGTCCAGTTTCAGGTTCAATATAAAGAGCGAGCTTTTTTGATTTTGTAGCAGAAACTCAATAGTTGTTAACTGATGTTGGTCTGTAATTGTTTCTAAATCAGACTAAAAGGAAAGGAGTTATGGCATCACACTTTGTTGAGGATATTTTATAATCCAGGTCTTTTTATCATTTCTATATTTCCTAGCAACACCTTACTTTTACCTATTTTGTAGAAAAAGATACCAAGGCCTTGTGTGCTGTTGAATTTTTTTATTAGATTTTATTTTTAGAACAGTTATATATTTACCAAAAGATTGAGCAGATAGTACAGAGAGTCCATGGGTAGCCCCTCTTTCTTTCACTAGTAGTGTACATATTTCATGACTGATGAAACAGTATTGATATATTATTGACTAAAGTCCACAGTTTACATTAGTGTTTATATAGTAGAGTTTTACAGCATTTGACAAATGCATAATGGCATGTAACTATCATTACAATATCATACAGATTTTTTTTTACCACTCAGAAAACTTCTGTGCACCACTTATTTATTCATACATTCTCCCCACTCCTAGTGGAAACCACAGATTTTTTACTATATTTATGCTTTTGCCTTTCACCTAATATCATATATTTAGAATCTAAATTATGTAAACTTTTTATACTTGCTTCTTTCACATTGAAATATGCATTTAAGTTTCCTCCATGTCTTTTTGTGGCTTGGTAACTAATTTCTTTTTATCTCTGAATAATATTTCATTGTAAGGATGTACCACCATTTTTTACCCATTTACCTACTAAAGGACATCTTGGTTGTTTCAAAATATTGTAATCTTTGAACAAAAACTGTTACAATCATTTATGCGCACCTTTTCCATAGACATAAGTTTTCTATTCAATTAGATAGCACCAAGGAACATAATATACTTTGCTTTGCTAGAAACCTTGAGATTGTCTTCCAAAGTGGCTTTATTATGGTACTTCAGAAAAGGAGAAGGAATTTCTTCTGCTTCTCTGGAGTACCCTAATATTAGTACCCTTACACACACACACACACACACACACACACATATATATACACACACACACACATATATAATATATAATGACAAATATAAATGAAAGTTTGTACCCTCTGACCAACATAGCTTTATTTCATCCCCTCACACCACCCCAATTCCTGGCAACTACCGTCCTACTCTCTACTTCTAAGAATTTGACTTTTTTAGATTACATAAATAAATGATATTATAAAACATTTGTTTTTCTGTATCTGGTTTATTTCGCTTAACATAATGCCCTTCAGGTCCATCTATATTGTTGAAAATTGCAAAATTTTCTACATTTTTAAGGCTGAATAATATTTCTTTCTTTTTTTGATATTTTATGGATTTTTATTATTATTATTATTATACTTTAAGTTCTAGCGTACATGTGCATAACGTGCAGGTTCGTTACATATGTATACTTGTGCCATATTGGTGTGCTGCAACCATCAACTCGTCAGCACCCATCAACTCATCATTTACATCAGGTATAACTCCCAATGCAACCTCCCCCCTCCCCATGATAGGCCCCGGTGTATGATGTTCCCCTTCCTGAGTCCAAGTGATCTCATTGTTCAGTTCCCACCTATGAGTGAGAACATGTGGTGTTTGGTTTTCTGTTCTTGCGATAGTTTGCTGAGAATGATGGTTTCCAGCTGCATCCATGTCCCTACAAAGGACACAAATTCATCCTTTTTTATGGCTGCATAGTATTCCATGGTGTATATGTGCCACATTTTCTTAATCCAGTCTGTCACTGATGGACATTTGGGTTGATTCCAAGTCTTTGCTATTGTGAATAGTGCCGCAATAAACATACATGTGCATGTGTCTTTATAGCAGCAGGTCATGTATATAAAACATTTTCTTTATCTATCCATCAATGCACACTTAGGATGTTTTCATATCTTAGCAATTATAAATAATGCCGCAGAGAACATGGGATTGCAGATACTTCTTAGAGATACTGATTTGAATTACTTATATATTACTAGAAGTAGCACTGCTGGGTCATATGGTACTTCTGTTTTTAATGTTTTGAATGGCTGTACAAATTTACATTTCTACCACAGTGTACAAAGGTTCCCTTTTCTCCCTGTCCTCACCAACAGTTACCTTTAAAAAAAATAATAGCTATGCTATTGGGTGGGAGGTGACATCTCATCTTGGCTTTGATATGCATTCACCTGATGATTAGCATTGTTGATTTTTTTTTTTTCATATACCTAGAGGCCAGTTGTATGTCTCTTTTGAAGAAATGTCTATTCAGGTTGTTTGCCAAGTTTTCAATTGAGTTATTTGTTTCTGATGAGTTCTATGAATTCCTTGTATATTTTAAACATCAATCCTATGTCAAATATATGTTTTATAAATATTTTATCCCATTCAGTAGGTTGCTTTTTCGTTTTATATTCTTTTCTTTGTGTGAAAATGCTTTTTAGTTTGCTATAAACCAATTTGTTTATTTTTGCTTTGTTAGCCTGTGCTTTCAGACATATATGCAAAAACTCATTGCCAAGACTAATGTTACAGAGCTTTTTCTCTCTATTTTCCTCTAGGAATTTCACAGTCAAGTCTTACATTTATTGTACTTTATTTTTTATTATTTTAGATTGAAAGGGTACTTGTGCATATTGTTAAATGGATATATTGTGTAATGGTGAAGTTTGGGCTTCTAGTGTACCCATTATGCAAACAGTGAACATTTTATCCCATAGGTAATTTTTCAGCCCTCATCTACCTCCCACCCTTCTATAGTTTTGAGTTGCCAGTGTCAATTATTTCTGCCTACTTGTCCATGTGTTTCCATTGTTTAGTTTCCACTTATAAGTGAGAAACAGACTTTCTGTTTCTGAGTTATTTAACTTAGGATAATGACCTCAAGCTAAATTCACGTGGCTGCAAATGTCATGCTTTCATTTTTTATGACTGTATAGTATTCTGTGGTGTTTATATATCACATTTCTTTATCCAGTCAACCATTGATAAAAATTTAGGTTTATTTGATGACTGCTATTGTAAATAGTGTTGCAATAAACACAACACACAAGTTTAGTTGTCTTTTTGATATAATGATTTCTTTTCTTTTGATTAGTCAGGGGTGGAAATACTATGCTGAATGATAGTTTTATTTTGGTTCTTTGCGAAACCTCCATACTGTTTTCCATAGAAATTTTACTACTTTACAATATGCCAACAGTGTGTAAGCATTCTTTATTCTCTGCATTCTGACCAACAACTGTTATTTTTTACCTTAAAAAATAGCCATTCCGACTGGTGTAAGATGGTATCTCATTGTGGTTTTAATTTAAATTTCTCTGATGACTAGTGATGTTGAGCACCTTTTCATAAGTTTTTTTGTAGCCAATTGCATGTCTTTTAAAAAATGTCTGTTCATGTTTTTTGCTCACTTTTTAATTTTTTTTCTTGTTGATTTGTTTTTTTTTTTTTTTTTTTTTTTCTTGTAGACTGTGGATATTAGACCATTTTCAGAGGCATAATTTGCAAATATTTCCTTCTCATCTGTAGTTTGTCTTTTTGCTCTGTTGATTATTTCCTTTGCTGTACAGAAGCTTTTTAGTTTATGTTCCATTTGTGTACTTTTGTTTTTGTTGCATTTGCTTTTGAAGTCTTAGTCATAAATTCTTTCCCTCAATGTCAGAAGAGTTTTTTGTATAGTTTTTGTTAGGATTTTTCTTGTTTGAGGTCTTACATTTAAGTCATAAATAAAACTTGAGATCATTTTTGTATATGGTGAGAGAGAGGGGTCCAGTTTCATTATTCTGAATATGGCTAGCCAATTTTGCCAGAACTCTTTATTGCTACTCAATAAAGCAATATTTCATGTCCTTTCTTCACTGTTTATTTTTGTCAACTTTGCCAAAGTTCAGTTTTTTACAGGTATGTGGCTTTATTTCTTGGTTCTCTGTTTGGTTCCATTCCATGTCTCCATTTTTTTTTTAACCATTACCATACTGTTTTCGTTACTATAGCTTTTTAGTATATTTTGAAGTCAGATAATGTGGGTCTCTTACTTTTTGCTTTTTATGCAAAATTTATTTGGCTCTTCAGGCTCTTTTTTTGTTATATATGTATTCTGGAATTTTTTTCTAACCCTGTGAAAAATTATGTTTGTAATGATAGGAATTATGTTTAGTCTGTAGATTGCTCTTGGTAATATGGTCATTTTAACTAGTGATACTTCCAGTCCATGAGCATAAGATCTTTTTCTGTTTCTGTCATCTATGATTTATTCTATCAGTGTTTTGTATTTCTCCTTATAGTTATCTTTAACCTCCTTGGTTAAACATATTCCTAGTATTTTATTTTTGTAAATGGCTAGTGTAAATGGGATGGAATATTTATTTGTTTCTTAGCTTTAATGTTATTGGAGTATCGAAATGCTATTGACTTTATTTACATTGATTCGATATCCTGAAACTTTACTAAAATTGTTTATCAAGTATATGAATTTTATGTAACGTCTAGGTTTTCTAGATATGTCATCAGCAAGCAGAGATAACATGACTCCTTCTTTTTAAATTTGGATCCCTTTCCTCTGGGTAAAACTGCCAGTAATATGTTGAATAGGACTGGTCAGAGTGGAGATCTTTGTCTTTATTCAGTCCTTTATTTATTTATTTATTTGGCAAAACTATTTCCTTTTATTCTGTGGAACATCACTAAAGTAAATAGACATGTGCATGATTTATGTTATTTGTACATGATGAGAATTAAGGCTGAAAATGACATCTGGGGAACCTCCTACTATTAGTTTCATATCTTCTGGGCAGGGACTGACTCTTGGCTCCCTTATACTTCCTAATTCCCAGTGGGCCTGAATAGACACTGGCCAAACTTTCAAAGTAGCTTCTTGAAGATGGATGATGATCGGTTTAGAATAATCCATTCACCTGTTCTGTTTCAGGGTCCAAATCAGTACAATAAAAACAGGGCCGGGTGGGGAGTCCATTGTGCTCACTGTTTCTACTAAAGGGTACAGAAAACCAGCCCCGATGCTGGCATTGATGTCACAAATGGGCAGAACAAATCCTGTAGGAATACCTTTTTGCTCTGGGTTGTGAGACAAGGACAAATGTGTTTTGGCTATGCAGATGGGGAGATTCCCAAACCCCTGCTTTGTGTAGACTTCAGCTTTGTGTTGAGCTTTGGGGAGTAATTCAATGTCGTCTACTCCATCGATCTTCTGTGCAGTGATTCTGATTTTATCCTCAACTGGGAGTTTGAGGTCATAAAGGAGTTGGAAACTGCTGGGTGCTTGTGCTGCTCGCTAGATGGCCTGAGCCAGGGCTAAGGCACCTTTGCCCCCTTCTGCCCAGTGAGTGCACTTCACGGCATCAAAAGCCCCATGTTCTCTGGAAAGGTGGCTGAGGAGGTCTAGCTCAGTCTCTGTATCCATCTTGAATGCATTCACGGCCACTACTACTGGAATTCCAAACATTCTGCCATTTTCAATTTGTTTCTTCAAGTTACTGAAGCCTTTTTCAACCAGCCCTAGGTTCTCCTCTATGTAAGCCTTGGGAAGAGGCATTTCAGCAGTGACCACAGGGCCGCCCCCTGCATCTTGAGAGCACTGACATTGTCAACAAGCACCACCACGTGAGGGTGGAGGCCGGAATACTGGGATTTGATGTTAAAAAATTTTTCCATTCCAATGTCTGCTCCAAATCCCACTTCCGTCACTGCAAACCCTTCTGGGCCAACAAGCTTGAGTGCGATCGGTCTGCAATGATCGGGGAATTGCCATGTGCGATGTTGGCAAATGGGCCGTCATGGACAAACGGCACTGGAGTGCCCTCCAATGTCTGCATGAGATTGGGCTTGATTGCGTCCTTCATAAGCACTATCAATGCACCACCCACCCCCAGATCTTCAGCGCGGATGGGCTCTCCTTTCTTACTGGATGCCACCACCATTTTGCCCAGTCTCTCTCTCATATCTTCTAGAGAAGTGCTGAGAGCCAGGACAGCCATAATTTCACTGGCCACAGAGATATCAAACTGGGCCGTCCTTATGTGACCTTTCTTTGTTGGAGCCTGTCCAATCATGATCTTCCTCAGGAATCTATCATTGGTATCCAACACTCTTTGCCAAGTTTTGATTTCTGGATCAATGTCCAATCTTACAAATCTGTTTATCTCCTCATCTGTCAGTGTGGTAGGGTCAGTCTTTTCTTTTTTTTTTCTTTTTTTTTTTTTAACCAAAACACTGAAACTTTAATTGAATGAGAATTACACCTGTCAAAGACCTGGGCGGTATACTCCTCTCTCCTCTATAGCACTAATTCCTTCTGAGGGGTCATTTCACCAGCCACCTGAGTAAGCGCTCCAGCTATCCCCAGACCAGCTAGAGACATCCCAAGCATGGTCACATCAGCATCAATGTCCAGGCATACTCAGGGCTCAGAATCGTGGGTTAGTACCACTTTTCCCACTACCCCCTTATATTCCACAAGGGACCACAGCCAGCAGGTTAACTCTCCCCTCCCTACCCCCACCAAACCCTGGAAAACCACAGACAGCCTTTTAAAGCTCCTCTTTCTCAGCCCCCTTCTTCTGGAAGGCAGTCAGGATGTTTAAGCTCTTCTGGAGCTCCTCCTTCTTCCCATCACTCATCTTGTTCTTCTCAATCAGCCTGGCAATCCGTGTCATCTCTGATGCTGGGAAGTCCTCCCCTTGGTCTAAGATCTTCCCCATGATCTTCAGGTATTGCTCAGCCCACTTCTTCTCAGTCTCCTTCACACTTGAGAGGTTGTCCTGCCCCCGCTTCAAGAGGGCCTGGCGGCCCTCCACACCAGAGGCCCTGATGAACTCCCCGGCGAGAGTGTCGTATACAGGCAGGCAACCAGGCATACCTAGGTAGACCCCTTGCCCCTTCAGCCAGCGCTGGATGGCTCCAACCTTAACTGCCCCAGTGTATGGGACTGGGTTCTCAAAGTCCCCATCCCGGAAGAGGTAGAAGGCTGGGTAGCTCTCTTTGTCCAGCTTGTATTTCTCACTCAGTTCCATGTTCAGTTTGTCTCCATAATCTGAGATCCCCACCTCTGCCACCAAGAGATCATCGCTGGAAGCCGAGTTTTCAGCAAGACGCTTGAACTCATCCTGCTTCTCACCGTAGGGGTACTGGGTGTCGAACTTCACCAAGACGAACTTGCTTTTGGTAATGACCTTGTAGAAAGTGACCGTATCCAGGGGAAGGGCGCCCTTAGTGTGCAGGCCGCTGCCGCCATGCGGAGCGGAGAGGAGCAGGAAGCCCAGGAGAAGGGGAAGCAGCTGGGAGAGAGACGCGGCGCGGGACACAGCGGCAGCCATATCGCCGGGTTCCCGGTAGGGTCAGTCTTTTCAATGCCTAGTCTATTTAACCTTCGGATGTGGATATCAGAGAACGTTCTCACTCCATTTACTGATAGCACCAAACGATTAAAGAGAGCCTTGTCTGTCTGGGGCAGTTCACGAAATATCTGAGCATCAATGGCTGCAGCAATGAGGTTATTAGCTACAGTGATGGCATGGATGTCACCTGTGAGGTGGAGATTAAACTCTTCCATAGGAATGATCTGGGAGTAGCCACCTCCTGCGGCACCACCTTTTATTCCAAAGATGGGGCCCTGAGAAGGCTGTCGCACACACAAAAATGTTCTGGTAGATATGGGCAAAAAGGGCTTGCACCAGCCCGATTGTAGTCGTGCTTTTCCCTTCTCCCGGAGTGTTGGGGTTATTCCAGTCACCACCCGGTATTTCCCATCAGGCTGGTGCTTCAGGTGTTCTAGTGCTGACAGCAGAACTTTGGCCTTTGTTTCACCATATAATTCTACCTCTTCAGACAGCAGACAAATTTCTCGAGCCAGCTTACCAATGGGCTTCAGTTTACAAGATCGTGATATATCAATATCACTTGGAACAGGTGTCTTGAAGTTAAGATTGTTATACTGATTCATCCACTTTCCTGGCTTAAATTTCTCCAGGAAACACTTGGTACTCTCTACTGTGCTCTGTATGAGCATTGCAACCATCATGGGCCTGAAGCTACCAGGAACAGGCTCTGTCGTATGCCACATCAACCACAACTTTTCTCCCATTTGTTTTTTTTTTATCATGTGGGACATAGTTGATTCTACAGTGGATGACTATTGCCCCAGGTTTGATCCATTCTCCTTTAACCATTTCAGGCCAACCAGTTGCAACCACCAGTATGTCACCTTAATTACTTCTTCATCCAGATTGGCAGTCTTGGGGCGGCAGGTGGTCACTGTGGCATTGTATCACAGAAGCAAGTCATTCATCGGGGCCCCGACTATTTTACTGTGCCCAATCACCACAGCATGCCTTCTGGCAATCTGCACCCCTGCCTCTTTGATGAGTTCCAAGCATCCTTTAGGCATACAAGGAATGAAACAGTCATTTAGGTCACCTCTAGCAAGTTTCCCAGCACTGATGCTAGTCAATCCATCCACATCCATTTCAGGTGCAATAGCATTGATCAGTCTTTTCAGTGTAATGGAATTCTCTGAATCTAGAGGTAGCTGCACTATGAACCTGTGTATAGTAGTCTTCATTCAAAGATACAATATACTTGATCACCTCAGATTCTGTGGTTGTTCTTGGTAACTTAATGTCGGTGACTTTCATCCCAATCTCTTCAGCAGCCTTCAGCTTCACATTATGTAAAGATTGGAATCATCTCTGTTGCCAACCTGTAATATTGCCAGGTCTGGTGTGAAACCAGGTACTTGCTCCTTCAACTGAATGACTTGATTCTTCAGTCTTGCCCTTATTTGCGCGGAGACCTCCTTCCCGTTCAGGATTTCTGCTGGCGCCATGGCCTTTATTAGCTTGCCCATGATGGACACCACCAATATCCTGTTCAGTTCTTAGGAGGAATGCTTTAACCTTATCCTCATTCAGTATGATGTTGGCTATGGATTTGTCATAGATGGCTTTTATTAATTTGAGGTATGTATTTTCAATGCCCAGTTGATTGTGAAGAAATGTTGGATTTTATCAAGTCGTTTTTCTTCATCAATTGAGATGATCATATAGTGTTTGTTTTTAATTCTGTTTATGTGGTTAATTACATTATTGATTTGCATATGTTGAGCCATCCTTGAATCTCTTGGATCAAACCCACATGGCTTGATGTACTGTTTGTTTTAATTTGCTAGTATTTTATTGTGGATTTATGCAGCAATATGCACCAGGTATATTAGCTTGTAGGGTTTTTTAAAAAAATTATTTCCTTGTGTAATATTTGTATCAGGTGATACTGCTTTCATAGAATGAGTTAGAGAAGAATAGTTCTTCCTTGATTTTTTTGGCATAGTTTAAGCAAGATTAGAACAAGTTCTTCTTTGTATGTCTGGTAAAATCCAGCTGTGAATCAATTTGGTCCTGGGCCATTTTTGTTGGATATTTTATATTACGGATTCAAATTCATTACTTGTTATTGGTCTGTTTAGGCTTTCCATTTCTTTCTGGTTCAGTCTTGGGAGGCTGTATGTTTCCAGGAAGTATCCATGTTTTCTAGGTTGTGTTCATTATAGTCTCTGATGATTTTTTGTGTTTGTGATATTGATTGTAACGTCAACTCTATCATTTCTGATTGTGTTTATTTGAGTCAGCTGTCTTCTCAGTTAATCTAGCTGGTAGTCTATCAATTTTGTCTATCCTTTCAAAGAACAAACTTTTCATTTTAGTGATAGTATAATTATTTTAATCTTAATTTCATTTAGTGCTGCTCTGGTGTTTATTTCTTTTATTCTGCTAGCTTTAGGTTTAGTTTTTTTTTTTTTTCTTGTTATTCTAGTTCCTTGAAGTGAAACATTAGGTTGTAGGTTTGAGATTTTTCTCTCTTTTTGATGAAGGCATTTAATGCCATGATTTTTCCTCTTAATACTGCTATTGTTGCATCCCAGGAGTTTTGGTATGTTATGTCTCTATTTTTATTTGTTTCAAAAATATTATTTTATTTCTGCCTTAATTTCATTGTTTACCCAAAAGTCATTCAGGAGCAAGTTGTTTCGTTCCCATGTATTTGTGTTGTTTTGAGAGTTCCTCTTCATATCGATTTCTACGTTTATCCCACTATGGTCCAATTAGGTACTTGATATAATTATTATTTTTTCAAGTGTATTGAGCCTTGCTATATGGCCAAGCATGTGGTTAATTTGGGAGAATGTTCTATATGGAGATAAGAAAAATGTATATTCTGTCATTTATATAACATTGTCAAATGTTATGTAAATATCTATGTGGTTCATTTGATCTGGGTTCAAGTTAAGTCCAGAGTTTATTGATTTCCTGCCTTCGTGATCTGTCTAGTATTGTCAGTGAGTTATTTGTGTTTCCCACTATTTTCATATTGCTTTCTATTTTCTTAGGTGTAGTCATATTTTTTTTTGTATGAATTTGGTCTTCCAGTGTAGCATGCATATATATTTAGGATAGTTACATTTCTCATTATATAATGCCCTTCTTTGTTTTTTGTTTACTTCTGTTCGTTTAAAGAATAGCTCAATTTTCTGTTCCGTGTGTGATATATCTTCTTCCCCCTTTTGCTTTTTGTCTGTAGCCAGTAGGTGGGTGTCTTAGGCAGCAGTTAGTTGGGTCTTGCTTTTCCATCGAATATGCCAGCCTGTATCTTTTAAGTGAAGTATTTAGGCCATTTACATTCAATGTTAGTACTGATATATGAGGTTCTGTTTCTGTCACATTGATGTTAACTATGTGCTTTGTAGTCTCAGTCATGTAATTGCCATATAAGATCTGTAAGTTTTGCTCATGTGCACATGTGACATGTGCTTTTATGATGTCAGTGTCAGTTTTTTGTTTCCATATTTAGTACTCCTTTGAGCATGGGCTAGTTCAATGGTGATGAATTCCCTTACCATTTGCTTATATGGGAAATACTTTACTTCTTTTTCATTTATAAAGCTTAATTGGTGGGATATAAAATTCTTTACCGAGATTTTTTCTTTTTCTTTTTCTTCACAGAGGCTGAAAACAGGCTCTCAATCTCTACTGGCTTGTTAAGTTTCTGCTGAGAAGTCCACTGTTAGACCAGTGGGATTTCAATCATAGGTGATTTGATGATTCTCTGTAGCTGCTTTTTTTTTTTCTTTGTTTTTATTATTATAGTTTAAGTTCTAGGGTACATGTGCACAGCGTGCAAGTTTGTTACGTACATATACGTGTGCCATGTTGGGGTGTTGCACCCATTAACTCGTCATTTACATTATGTATCTCTCCTAATGCTATCCCTCCCCTCTTCCCCCACCCCACGACAGTCCCCGGTGTATGATGTTCCCCTTCCTGTGTCCAAGTGTTCTCATTGTTCAATTCCCACCTGTGAGTGAGAGCATACGGTGTTTGGTTTCCTGTCCTTGTGATAGATTGCTGAGAATGATGGTTTCCAACTTCATCCATGTCCCTACAAAGGACATGAGCTCATCTGTTTTTATGGCTGCATAGTATTCCATGGTGTATATGTGCCACATTTTCTTAATCCAGGCTATCAAAAGGATCTAGAACTAGAAATACCATTTGACCCAGCCATCCCATTACTGGGTATATACCCAAATAATTATAAATCATGCTGCTATAAAGACACATGCACACGTATGTTTATTGCGGCACTATTCACAATAGCAAAGACAGAACCCACCCAAATGCCCATCAGTGTAGCTGCTTTTAAGATTTGTTTTTTCACATTGAACTTGGATAATCAGATAATTATATGCCTTGATGATATTAATCTTCTGTAGTATCTCACAGGTGTTCTCAGAATTTCTGGTATCTGGATATCTATAACTCTAACAAGATCAGGAAATGTTTCCTGAATTATTCCATCAAATATGTTTTCCAAACTTCTTACTTTTTCTTCTTCTCCCTCAGGAATGGCCATGCATTGTGGATCTGGTTGCTTTACATAATCTTATATTTCTTGAAGATGTTGTTCATTTTTAAATGTATTATTATTATTATTATTTTTTGCAGTTGCAAGATTTAATAGAGTGAAAACAGAGCTCCCATAAAACGGGAGGGGACCCAAAAGTGGTTGCCATTGCTGGCTCGAATGTCTGGGTTTCATATCCCGATCATTGTCCCTCCCCTTGTACTTTCAGGCAATAAATGATTGGCTATTTCTTTACCTCCTGTTTTAGCCCAATTAGCATTTTAGTGAGCTCTCTTTACTATGTGACTGGTCAGGTGTGAACTAAGTTGCAAGCCCCGTGTTTAAAGGTGGATGTGGTCACCTTCCCAGCTAGGCTTAGGAATTCTTAATCGGCCTAGGAAATCAAGCTAGTCCTGTCTCTCAGTACCCCCCCCCCCAAACAGGAAAACCCAAGTGCTGTTGGGGAGGTTGGCTGACGATCGCTCTAACTGCCTCCTGCTGAATTGGGGTGTAGTAGGGGTTGTGCAGTTGAGATTTTCTTGGGGGGTGCTTTGGATGTTATCAACCTCAGAGCATGGGCTAGCAGACTGGTCCAGGAATCCACGGTAGATCTTAGTCATGGACTGCATCTGGGGCTCCATTTGAAGAATGATTTGTAGTTTTATAGCTTTGATTCTGGAAGAGACAACAAGGAAGTTAAAGATAAAGGGATTGAAATGTATGGCCTGCAGTGCAGGGGATTTGTATGGCCTGCAGTGCAGAGGATTATTTCTTTGACACACTTCACAGGCCCCGACTATCTGCTTGATAATTTTGAAAAGGCCTGGTCCAGTAAATAATAATTTGGCCATCTGATGGGTGCTATCAATGCTTAAGTGAAAGGTTTGGTGAAGCGTTTTAAGTAATTTCCATGGGTTAGCTGCAGGCAAAAATATTTTCCCTACTTCGGTGGCTAGTCATCCTGAGGGGAAGAAACTATGTCCTTGTGAGGTTCCCCATTCTATTTCTCCTGCTGAGTACTGGGGCTTAGTTTCCCAGAGGGGATTACCACATACTAGGGGTCCTTCTATAAGCATTTCTTATGGAGAGTCCTGCCTTGCGGCTCTTTTGGCTTCAATATCTGCTTGACGTTTCCCTTCTATTTCCCTTTCCTTTCCTTTCTGATGACCCCAGCAGTGTAAGACTACCACCACTTTAGATTTCTGTGCAGCCAATAATAATCTCCTAATGGCTTCCTGATGTTTGATAGGTGTTCCCTCCGAAGTTAGGAATTCCCTTTCCCTCCATATTGCTGCGCGGGCATGGAGGACTAGGTAAGCATACTTAGAGTCTGTATATATATTTACCCTTTTTCCTTCTCCTAATTTTAGTGCCCGAGTGAGGGCTATTAGTTCTGCCAGCTGAGCGCTAGTTCCTGGAGTGAGGGGATTATTTTCAAGTATTCCATTATCACTGGCCACTGCATAATCTGACTTTTGAAGTCCTTTTTCTACAAAGAAACTTCCATCAGTGTACAAGTTGAGGTTGGGATCAGTCAAGGGAACCTCTAGAAGGTCCCCTCGAGCGGCGTAGGTTTGAGCAATTACTTGTTGATAGTTATGTTCTGTTTTTTCTTCATTGTCTGGAAGAAATGTGACTCGATTAAGAGTTGCACAAGTGCACAGTCACAGCACTGGTCCTTCTAGCAATGAGTATGCCATTCACATCACAAGATGTCCATACAGTAAGATCTCTTCCCTGTGTCATTTTAACTGCTTCAGATACTAAGACTGCTACTACTGCCACTACCCATAAATAATGAGGCCAATCCTTTGCCACTACATCAATTTTCTTGCTCAGGTATGCCACGGGTTACAAACTAGTCCCTCGGACCTGTGTAAGGACTCCTAGAGCCATTCTTGTTTTTTCTGTTACATATAAAGAAAAATCTTGCCCTGTTGGCAAGCGTAACACTGGGGCTTGGGTTAGGGCCTTCTTTAGGGCCTGGAAAACTGCTTCTGCTTCAGTTGTCCATCTTACTAAATGGTATTGGCTTTCAGAGTTTTCTTGATTCGTGTATATAATGGCCTGGCTATTTTCTGTACTGGGAATCCATATTTGGCAGACGCCAGTTATACCAAGGAACCCTCTTAGTTGCTTTAGG